GTAAAAATACTAATAAAAACTTATGTATTTTGAAAAGAGTTTTATTTCTAAAGGATCTTTGTGACACAATCATTTGCATTAACGAAACGCAGAGGGATTCGTTAGTAAGCAGCGCGCCGACGGATGCTCGTAGGTAACGCGGCAAGTAAAATAGTTGTGGAACGCTAATATACGCCTACGTATTGGTAGCATGATTACGATTAGTTGTTATAATACAATGACGATTCGTTATTTTTTGGAACCGGGCCTATATTATGCACATGTGAGAACGGTCAATTCGTTCCTTGTCGTCTGGTTCGTGTCCGTCTTTTAGGAAGTCAAAAAAAGTACTGCCTGCCGCTAGTCACGTACGCCCTCGTTCCATTTTTCTCTTTATTTTTGAATTCTTGTCAAGTGTCTGTCTTAGTCCGTGTCTAGTCGTTGTAGGTCTTATGTCCTGTCAAAAAAGTTGCACGCCACGACAAGTAAATTACAGTGCTTGTGGTCACGGTCGATTGACAACCAGCCAGTCAATGCGAGATTGAACCGTAGATTGAAGATTAAACGTACGCCTTCGTTCCATTTTTCTCTTTATTTTTGAATTCTTGTCAAGTGTCTGTCTTAGTCTGTGTCTAGTCGTTGTAGGTCTTATGTCCTGTCAAAGAGGTTGCACGCCACGACAAGTAAATTACAGTGCTTGTGGTCACGGTCGATTGACAACCAGTCAGTCAATACGAGATTGAACCGTAAAATTAGTTTTATTTGTGTCCACGAGGTGCGAAAACCGAACAAAATATAACGCGAATAACGCTGCTTATAACGCGAATGCGGCCGACCACAAAGTGAGACGTTAGATTACAATAAAAGCTATCCTAGTTTTCAAATTGGGACCGACGATTGCTTCGCGATCGATATAACAAGACGGTGTTGCAGTTTATAAAGAACTAGCCCTAAGACGTAACAGTAATTTTCAGCCTTATCCATGAAGTCTTCACATATATTGATTCTCAAATTTATGTATGACTGGTATTCAATAAAAAAATATTAAAGCCTTTAAAATGTTTTTACTGGTGGTAGGACCTGTTGTGAGTCCGCGCGGGTAGGTACCACCGCCCTGCCTATTTCTGCCGTGAAGCAGTAATGCGTTTCGGTTTGAAGGGCGGGGTAGCCGTTGTAACTATACTGAGACCTTACAACTTATATCTCAAGGTGGGTGGCGCATTTACGTTGTAGATGTCTATGGGCTCTAGTAACCACTTAACACCAGGTGGTCTGTGAGCTCGTCCACCCAACTAAGCCATAAAAAAATAATAATGTGTGTCTTGAAAATAATGAATTTCATATCTTATTCAATTTATTGTCATTGACGAAGACGTCGTGTAAATTTTCATCGAGACAAAGTGTTTCATTCAGTTCCAGCAGGATTGAGCCGGTTTTAGCTAATTCCTAGTAGGTAGCTTTCCATAATATAGTATGGATCAAATTGATTTTACGACATTAATATTAATACTCGAAAAGTTTTAATATTAGCTATGAGATGACAATAATGATGAAAATTACTATGGAAAGTATTAAATTGAGCGAGATTTCGTAATTCTATTTATTTAATATCATTTTCATATGCTAATTTCAAACAAATATCTAGTATATTTTTTTATCTTTATTTTAATAATTAATAATTTAAATGATTAATTTACATTCTGTAAAATGAAAGTACTATTTGTGTATATTTTTTGTTAATTGTAACAAATATTTTCGTAGCTTAGCTTACTATACAAAGTAAAAAAATTAAGAGAATTATTTTTCTGCAATAAAAATGTCTTTTTTTTTCAATGCATAACTTTCACTTATTGAAGTCTTAAATTCGTTTCCCTAGCTTTATATATTTATTATGTTCCCAGAATTGTGAGGAATCTGGTGCATTCTTCAGTTGTAAGCGACAGGTTGAATAATAAATATTGAACACTATCAATATGATTTATATACCCACTTAAATGACAGACTAGAAACAAAAGCAAAATCAAATGCAGTACCTACATAATTTCGTAGCTCCATCTTCGAAATTTCAATTTTTTTTTTATGATATAACCTTACAGTAACTAAGAAGTTTTAATACCTTCATTTATGGAATATTTAATTGTCTACTAAATACAATTTATTTCATTAAGCTAGCATTCTTAGTTTCCGAGATTTATAGGTTTTTTTAAGTGATCCGGATTCATGGCTATCAAGTTTAGAACTTGATAGTACCCCGGGACAAAAAGGGCTTTATTGTTAAATTAATTGTACGTCATAGGTCGACACAATTGAAACATCAGCTTTATATACAAACGCGCGTTTTGGGATCTTAAATTTAATTTCGAAAATACACTCTGTATCGTGTCAACGTGATTAAAGTGCGAAATAGATTTATTCAGTTCATCGCAACGCCACGGGAGGTCGAACACAACGCTAACACACGGCGTAAAAGTTAGCTTAAGCGGTTATTTGAAATCCGACCTAAACTTTAAAGTGAAAATATTACCGGTCGTTCATAATGGTATATAACTTATTTCGGATATGTGAGTCGTCTATTATCAAAGGTGGCAATCTGTGCATTTGGACAAAAAAAAATTATTGATATGTCGATACAGATTGATTTGTATATAATCGTCTCCTTCAAAGAATACGGTTCAAAACCTGCATTAAATAAAGGTTAATACTTAATCTGTTATTTGTCTAAGATGTCGTTCAGAAGAGTTTTGTGACTGCAAATGGAATACAAAGTCAATAATTCGTTTTTCTGATTTACCAATAATTGTCCAAAAGTTACATTGCCGGCTTTGATAATAGTCGACTCATGTATTTGTGTGGTGTGAGAGATTTCTTTAAACGAAGGAGACCGTTTGTTGAGAGGGTAAGCGTATATTTTTATGCAACTCGTACAATCACAACGTCTTAGCGTAAAATTTATGGTCAGAGAATTTCTAATAAAGTTACTTTGTTCGGCTTTTATTGAGACACATGTACGGAGCCTTCTCGAGTACTACCTAATCATCCGTCGGTAGTATAGTTTTTTTTTATAGCTTAGATGGGTGGAAGAATTCACAGCCCACCTGATGTTAAGTGGTTACTGGAGCCCATGGACATCTACAACGTAAATGCGCCACCCACCTTGAGATATAAGTTCTAAGATCTCAGTATAGTTACAACGGCTGCCCCACCCTTCAAACCGAAACGCATCACTGCTTCACGGCAGAAATAGGCAGGGCGGTGGTACCTACCCGCGCGTACTCACAAGCGGTCCTACCACCAGTAAATACGTTTATAACCCTAGATAAATACTTCCCTAATTTCGAAGACCCTTGTTTCTATTGACGCAAACGCTCGTAGGTTGGTGCCAACTTTCTGCTTTATTTCTGTCGCAAAACAATAATTCTCTTTGGTTTGAAGGGTGGGCAGGCATTGTACCAATGAGGTGATTTGGTAAACTCACGCCGTGGTGTCATTAAACTCTGGTCGCATAGGCATTCCAAGCACCGGTAACCTTTCGCGTCAAACCTGTCAATTGCGAAGGATTCGACATGCAACTTAACCCACCGACAGAGCCCACTCAGTTTCTTGCCGATTGCTCTTATTGGTAAGCGAAATCGGTTTGATGGTAGATTCAGCGAAGCACTGTCCTTCTTGGGGCTAGTTTTTGTAATTCCTTTCAGTTCAAGANCTGGTCGCATAGGCATTCCAAGCACCGGTAACCTTTCGCGTCAAACCTGTCAATTGCGAAGGATTCGACATGCAACTTAACCCACCGACAGAGCCCACTCAGTTTCTTGCCGATTGCTCTTATTGGTAAGCGAAATCGGTTTGATGGTAGATTCAGCGAAGCACTGTCCTTCTTGGGGCTAGTTTTTGTAATTCCTTTCAGTTCAAGAACCCCGTGAGCTCACTTGTCAATCCGAACGTAATTTCTATAGCCACTTAGGCTACCAACGACAAAAACCAAAAAATCCCCAAGGAGAACACTAGATGGTCATGACCTGTCGAAGAAGGAAAAGACGCCATTTCTTTGGTCGTGTTAGCTTATAAAATGCTCATGACAAACTTGAGAGGTAGCCGAGTATTTTCTGACTTTATAGCTAAATTTATTATTATCTCTAGTTTTCTTTAAAGAAACATAATACATATGCCTAGAAATAAGGTTGGCGTGATAATATTATAATAGCTTTCAAACTTTTATATCTGATTAAATGATTCGAATAATCATTGGTATTTTAAAAGCAAAAATAACTCATTGGAAAGGTGTAGAAACGAATCTGTGCCAAATGTTACATTTTAAATCTGCAATTGTAAAGTCTCGATAATTCTTCGTTAAATTAATCGTCATGGTTTCGAATAACTACTGAATATTAAAGAGATTTAGGAAAATTGATTTTACAGTTTCTGACTTTATTTTGAAGATATTTATGGAGTATTACATTTATGTAGCTTTTTATAAATGTTGCTAATATAATCAATACAATATCATCATCAATACAAATGACACCAGTTTCAATAATATTATAGAAAAGTTTCAAATAAAAATGCTTTTTAGAGTATCTATCGGCGATAACAAACCGAAATATTGTCGTAAAAATCATAATATTATTTTTGTCATATTTTTGGATGTAACCATGTGATAGATAAAATGTAGGTTAGAAAAAACACGGATCATTAAATTTTTATGTTTTTAAAAATGGAACAAGAATGAAAGAAACACATAAATAACTTCTTTTTTCATTTGTATACGTTCTAGCCAAACTATTTGCAACATAAATACTTTGGGACTAATCTAAATTCGATTAGATTCTTTTAGAAAGTGATTGTACAGAATCAGTAAGCATTTATCATGAATAAGGGCTGTAATAAAATTCGAGATCAATAAGATCTTGAACTACAAGAGACGTTTGATCCAATTTTAAATGTCAGATAGATAATTGTGCAACTTTCTGGCGACTGATCAACACTGTTTCAGTTTCAGCAGACCTGTCTCGGTCTGTAATATTCAGTTATCGCACGGCCCGAGAAGGAAACGCAGACAAACGCGCGTAAAATTTTACAAAAAAAAAAACAAAACGTTTTTCGCAACTGAAATAGATCGGCGTGTGACAGTGACATTATGTTTTTAAAATAACCTTTTTTTATTTGTGTTTTTGAAGTAGTAATACCATGGAACGGCAAAGGTGATTAGTGTTGTTTATATTGGCTTTTTGGTGCTTTGTTGAAAGTGCATCTGTTCTTATATTTCAATGTTTTTTAAGCTTTATTTAAATCACGCTTTTGATAGCAGATAATTCTATTTTAAATACAAATTATATAAAAAAAGGTGCTTTTCGTGTTTCCGTTTATTAAATTGACTATTGTCACTCGAAATTATGCAATGATGTATTAAAAGATCGATAGTGATTTCTCACAAGAACATTCAAAAACTCTGAAACAAATGTTGCTGTAATAATTTATGATAATCACATAATTATTCTTGAACATTTTCTAACAATACAGATGGTTCGAAAGCAAAACAATTTTAATTGTGTCAATCGTTAGCATAAATTCAACAGGTTTGAATGTACTAAATCTTGTAATGCGCCAAAATCAATTAACAAACGTCTTTCGATAATTAAATTTTAGAAGAATTTGTAATGTTTTTTAATAGTGATGTACCTAATATAAAAAATTGCAATGTTTCGATAAGTGAATAATAAACTAGTAAATTAACAATATCATATCGATAAAAAACAATATCAGTACGTATGTAGTTCATGAAATATTATATCGTAGTAATTTAAAACTTAAAAGCTAAGAGGAAAAATTTTTTTTTTCTACAAAAAGTTCAACCGGTGAACAATTGATAAAAATGTTTCGTCCCACCCTGTTCCGTGGTTTGAGTGTAGACTCAGCTGATCTGTCCGGGTATGAACTCGATAGGAGCCGTCGCGCGTCATTATCTGCCGAACAGCGGAGGAAGCTGAGCTTACTCCGCACGTCAAGCATACCCTCGCGCCTCAAGCCGGTGAGCCACATTTACCACTTGGTACCCTGCCCAAGGAAGTGCTGCAATCAGGTACAGGAAGCTCCTTCGCTTAAACTTTGCTAACATGTAACATTGTGTGACCAATTCGCATTGTTAATAATAAACTTTGTTTTTTCTTGTTGTAAATAAATATTTAATTATTTTTAAGCGAAGTGCTTTACTTGGGCTTACGGCGTACCCGTTTTAACAAATTTTGTAATCTTTTTAACGTTTTCCGTAACAAATCTTGCCATGGCAGCAATTACCTGAGCATTGCTTAGTTACCTATTTAAATTTGACACATTTGAAACCCGACCCTTTTGGCGGGAACGTGAAAAGTGATTCACGTAAACTGTTTTTGAATATTTTTTTTGTAAATCTAGTATTTCTTGTGATTATAACTTGTAATAATAAGGGTTTATTAATCGTTGTATTTTAAATTAAACGAAATGCAGTAAACGGCTTCTCGGGTTCTTTAAAACGGACTTTATTACGGACTCTGTAAATGCGCACTGCTCACAAAGAGAATTTTGATAAGGTAGAATGGTAGAAGAGTAATTGAAAACTACAAGAAATATGTGTGAATACAAACAAATAGCTACGGCTGGGGCAGCCGTTGTACTATACTGAGACCATAGAACTCATATCTCAAGGTGGGTGGCGGCATTTACGTTGTAGATGTCTATGGGTTCCGGTAACCACTTAACATCAGGTGGGCCGTGAGCTGGTCCACCAACCTATGCAATAAAAAAAAGTAAAACGTTCAACGTTAAATTAAGATCGTCTAGTATTATTACGCAATTTTAACTGACTTAAAAAAAGGAGGAAGTTCTCCATTAGACTATTTTTATGAGCGTTGCCTCAGAGTTTCTTGCTAGGTGAAAAGTTGATGATTGATTTATTTATTGAAAGCTATTGTTTCTCATGTGGTCCAATTTTATGAAGATCTCACACGTTTTAGAGTTTCCTTAACAACGCATATTTAAGTGATTTCGACTACATTGATGATAAACTTTTTTATTTCGTAGGCACAACTTCGTTTTTTTTTTTTTTAAATGTTGTATTATTTTAATGCAAGTTTCGAAAAACAGGCACCGGGATACCTTAAGGTATGAGGTCTGAGTCTCAATCGTATATTTCTTTATGAAGGAACGGAACGCATTTCTGCTTCGCGGCAGAAGATTGCAAGAAACTCTACCACCAGTTAAGATGCCAATTATTATTATTTTGTTACATGGGATCGTTGCGATTACAATTTACACATAATTCAGTGTATTAGATGTGACTATATTCAAGACTGCTAGTTTGTAAGAAGAGTTTACTAAATAAAAATAAAATAAAAAATCCGATAGAGAGTATATTAAAGACAGTGATGGTCGGTTATAAAACCTCTTTATTGTCTACCATCAACAACGAAAACGGATAAAGTAGGAAATACAAAGTTTTGTTGCTGAAAAATTGCCGTTTTTAACTAAAGGTCTCGCGCATATTACGTCATTTACGAGGATTTCAAAAGTAAAACGTGAGTAATGATAGGCAGCCTGTCAAATCCCCTTAATTGATGAGTGTTTATGCGGTATTAGAAATCATAGACTAAACATTTTACGGTGCGATACTTGACATGCTGTTATGCATTTCACATGTTTTTCCTTTTTTCTTGCAATTTTTATATGTTTTTAAGATGCTTTTATTAGCTGGACTTATTGACGTTTATTGATTAGCTATTATTAGAAAGTATAGTCTGAGCTATTTTATAATACATATTGCACTAAATAGATTTCTAAACACACAAAAATCTAACCGACACAGATTTTTCAATCTAATATAACTTTATAAATCAAACTCCGATGTAGGCGTACAGCGTTTTTTAAATAAAATATGGTGTAATTAAAAATGGCATCCACGTGGCGACCGCGACCGCTAACTACACATAATAAACATGTTACATTTATATAATCATATTAAACTCGTAATTATATTATAAAATAATCCAAGTTTTTTTAATTTAAATATCTAACGGCGATATCAGATCTATATGTATGTATATATTTGTGTATGGCGGATTGTAAGCTCCGTATACATAGTTCTGCACACTTCAACCGTCACTCAATTTTATAGTCTGTGGCCAATACAGAAAGCCCGCCAAAACTGAAACATAAAAATTTCACTCTTATTCTATTCATTGTAAAACATTCTACGTAATAATTTCTACTACACTCTTAATACAATATACATACATAATATTTGTTTAATTAAGCATCGACATGAACTATATTCAATATATTGCGTAACCAGCAGACATAAAGACGATAGAGTGGTGATGCGTGTATGTCTGTCATCGACACGCCCCCTGTGCCAAGTGCTAAAAACGCGAACTTCGAATTTGTCCGGTGATATTTATTTTGTCTCGACTAAATTAAGAATGAAGTATAATAGCTTTGTTTATTTCTATTTTGTAGAAGTGTTTAGTGAATTATTTTAATCTGTAAATTAGTGACTTATAAAATATGTCCTTTAAAACATTTATATGTTTATCACATGTCATTTAACCAAATAATATTTTACGGGATGTTAAATTGTAATTGCACCATATATTTTTTTGCAACACGTTCTAGACATGACACGGTCCAAATGAAATTTATTCCGATGAAAATAAATACAGTAGACTTCGGAATCGCGATTCGATTCAGTCAAATAATGTAATAGTATGAATAAGAGTAATAAAGTTTCATTTTATCCCAATATTATTCAAAACAACATAATATCTATAATGTTTATCAAAATCATGATTTGTGTATCGATACGCAACTATTTGGATGAAGTAAAATCATTTGAAATATAACAGTTTTCCTGTTTTCAAATCATAAACATTTTATTTGTCGTTAACCTCGAAATTACCTTTTGTCCTATCGTACGTTCATTCAAGTAGTGTTTGTTGATAATAAATCTACGTCGAAGATCTATTTGTTTGTCCCGTTTTCGGAGGTAGTAAAGTTCTCTGTCGTGATCTTGATGTGTTTTCATTGACAATACAAAGTTCTGAACTGCGCTTAATGTTCGCAAATGTTATTAAATAATAAAACGAACTAAAATAACGTATGTAGTCTTTCTAAATATATTAAAAGTTTTATTACGATTGAAAAGCGTTATGAAAATGAAGTCAGGTGTGCGTCAAAGAAAAACGCGTGAATTGTTTTTAGTGTTCGTAGTAAGCCAGGAAATAATTAATTCTGAGATGATTAATTTTACACTTATTTTCTTCATTAAAATCTACATTTATCTATACCTCAACTATTAGTGATAAATGAGATAAGGTAATGTTAAAAAAAAACTGGTGTTCATGAAAAACAAATACTAACTTTATGCAGGAAAGGGGACGGCCCATTTCAGGCCCAAAGCGGACAATAGATTAGAGAAAAAATACTTAGTGCATTAATTTTGTCATAAATAAATATGCATTTACTTTCTTCCAAATAAGCGCCACTACAGTTTACAATAAGTAGTTTAAAAAAGTAACTCTATTGAAAAAAACAAGAATTTTATTTTTGCGGGAAAAATATTGCCAACTTCAAAACCTTTTACGTTTTAAGTAAACATTTTAAGTATATAAAAAAACATATAAATAAATCATTTTAAATATTATCATTAATCAATCGATTTTAATCTATTTTAAGGACATAAAATAACATCAAAGACATACCCATTGGACTTTAACTTGTTACTATACTTGAGACCTTAGAACTTATATCTCAAGGTGGGTGGCGCATTGACGTTGTGGATTTTTGTGGGCTCCAGTAACCACTTAACACCAGGGTGGCTGTGAGATCGTCCACCCATCTAAGCAATAAAAAAAAACTTAACTTGTATTGTTATTTAAATATGTACAACTAAAACAAAAACATAAAAAATAAAATATAATGTGTACTCGTAAAAAAAAGAGTAAGAAATAAATCCAATATCGGTTATTTAAAAAAATGATCGATATATGAATTTCATGTAATTATTTTTCTTTATACTGACAACACTGATTTTAATCTGACTGACTGACACTTCGCTTGCTGCTTGTGCTTGCGTTCAAAATGGATGTGTTTTGATTTTTCTTCGATTTATTTTGCTTTTATCAATAACGTTTCATACTACGGCTGAAAACCATTGTGTGAATTGTGGTTTTAACCTGACCGAGATTTAAAACCGTGTATATGCTCTCCTGTGCTATTTTTAGATGATTTACTAATTGTGTATGAAGATGAAGAAAATATAGAATAATATAGATATTTAAAGAAGTATGTGTGTTTTTTATACCCTAATAACTACAATTGGATAAAAATACATTAGGAACATCTTAAACATTAAAAAAAGAAAAGTTCTTGAGGTATTTATATAGAAAATTAACCTCAAAACGAGTTTTTTATTTTTATTATATTTTTTATAATAGTGGCGTCAATTTCAATATATTTTTTAGATATCTAATACATTTAAGAATTTGAATCAGTCCATTATTATAGTAATATTTGATGTCCACCTTGGGCCTAGCACACTATGGAGAGTGGGCAATCCCCTTTATTGACTGAACTGCTGAGCCGATATTATTTTTTTATAAAACGGACCTTTAATTATGAAGGTAAATATCCTGTATTAAACGAAATGTTGCTTAAACTAAATAGCCTTTCAACCCTCGATATGCATTTGTTATGATGACGGGCACTGGAGACATAATTAAAAAGTCACATCAATTCATTACCAGAACAATTAAAATACTGTGAGATTCTCCTTAAGGGATGCATCTAAATTATTTTCTAACTGATCGCGGGTGAATCGGCTCTACGTAATTTAGACAGTAATTATTCATCAAAACATACAATCATGAGTTTCAAATATTTCATTTAAATACACACAGAAATGTACACGCAACATCGCAATTGAATTTTAATAATACAAAGTTAATAATACAAAGATGCATTTCCGACGGCGAATGCGGTTTTCATTGTTTTAAAAATCCGGCACACAATTTTAGAAAACTTCTTTATTTTCTATAACGATTTATGGTTATA